AAGAAACAAAACAAAAGAAAAATCAAGGTGGTATAAGGGCACCTGGCTGACTCAGTCGGTAGAGCATGTGACTCTTGATCTTGGGATTGAGAGTTCAAGGACCCCATTGGGTGTAGAGATTACGTAAAATTCAAATCTTAAAAAAAAATCAAGGTGGAGTATATCATTCTGATAAACTGAAAGAACACAAGAAGGAAATCCTTGAGGTATAAAGGGCAGAGACTAAGAAAACAATCAATTATTTGAGCAGCGGTTTGGCAGAAAGTAGCAAAGTTGTGCTTGAGGTATCGTTACTATATCGGTTTTAAAGCTAAGAATATAGAACCAAATCACAATTCATTGAATGCATTTCAAATAGAGAGCCAAACGTGGTGGTTTCTGGTATTCTAAATTGATTCTGGCATAAGCTTAGAACACTAGAGGTGTAGGTGTTCTGTATCCATCCCACTGTGTTTTTTTATCCTTGACTTCCAGAAATTTGATTCTAACTTCTGTAAACCTTCAGTCACACAAGCACTTGGCTAATATTTATTAGGAGTAAAGCCTTCTATTGTTAGATGGAAATGTGCTTTTTTTCTTTGACCTGAAGGATCTGTCTCCAGAGCCTGTCTAACCAAGGGGTGACTTTTGAAGTGATGCCCTCAGCACTGCAGAGAGCATCACTCCAGAGTCATAAATCGGTACTGTTCATAGGGCATCACCCCAGGATCAGTCACATCAAGATTTAACAGAAGTGGAGGAAGATGTTTTCTCTTTGGTCTCCAGTGTCCTCCTAGTGTCCTGCCTAGCCTGGTGGCTTGGATTTTCCATGTAACAGGTTTGAGCCATGGTTGCTTCACGGTTGTTTCCTAGGACTCATTCAGGATTTTCAACGGGGGCAGTAACACCCTTACATCTTTAGAAATTTGTGGGGTGCTTCTGGTTGGCAGAGTGACAAAGAACTGTCTCGCACTCCCATGCAAATGTTGACTATCTTACCAGACCATGTAATTGGGGAAAAATTACAATTATCTGATAAAATTTAACTCTTTTATAAACACAGAGTATATCTTCAAGGTTTTTAATATGTTCTGAATTTTCCAGATTGCGAATTACAATATATTTCATATAATGAGTAAGCATTGAATTTCATAGTTTTAAAAACCACTGAATTAGAAGATCCAACAATTTCTAAGGTCACTTACAAATTAAATTGTATAATTCTCTTGTTCATGTTGCAACACATTATTGGGTTTGTAGGAGAATGGGGTAAGGGAAATACAGAATTGGTTGGTGGTGGTGGTGGTTTTGTGTTTTGGTCTGGGGACTTTAGTTTGTGAATTTGCACATGTAATTTCAGGTCTGATTTCCAGGTTATAATTGAGAGCTCAGAGTTCTTCTTTCAAGATGCAAATTATTTGACTTATTTCAGCTGCATTTTTTTTCCCATCCTCTTGAAGAGAAGTTTTGGGGCTCTTTCTGCACTGGGATTTGAATTCTTAGTTTTGTGTCAACTGCTAACTTGAAGATTCTACTCTGTGACCCATTTTGCGAATCACTCCACAATGATTCACTAAAACTGTTCTTAGCTCATGCTCTATTTCTGCAAGACAAAGCGCCCCCAGAACCGTGGTAACAACTCATTTTTAATTTTTAAAGTTGCTTGTGGTTTTTAGCGAACTTCCCAGTCAGTAAGCAGCACAGGCCCATGGTAAACACCCAGAAAGCCAGAGAGAATCTCAACCACCTCCTGGCGTTAGCAGGGGGAGGTACACCTTTACAGATTCTAGTCCCCTGTAGTAGAAACCATGCTGGAATATGTTTTATAGTCTTTGAAACACGGATAAAACAAACCTACTTCTCTTGCGGATGTTTTGATTGATGCGATGTTTTGGAGTAGAACACGGAGGTAGTAAAAGAAGTACATGAAATCTATCAAAATCCGTTTGCCTGCTCCTTGCACTGTGCTACGTGTTACTGTCTAGGATGACAGAGTAAGAGAGGAGAGTAACATCTGTAACCCTCACAAGGTGTCTTCGTGGCAAAGTGGAGACCCACCGAGCCTGGGGGACGAGGAGGAGCTGGTCTGAGGCATGGAGAGGGCATCTCTCAGGTGGGAACAGTATATTTACCAACCCTGAGGCGGAAATGTGACATTCTTCCTCCAGCATGGGAGTCCAGCTTCTCCACAGCCTATAAACAAATTCCGAAGCACGAACATGGCCTTCCTGACATCCCCAGATCTGGGGTATTCCTACTTCTGCATCCTCACTCCCACTAAGTGCTCCACTGCTCCCATAGTGGACTCCTTCGAGACTATTCCCTCGAGCCCATCGGGCCCTTTTTCTTTTCTGTGCATTGATTGGCATCTACTCTTCCCTCCGTCGACCAAAATCTAAATTACTCAGAGACAGTGAGGGAACAGTCAGGAAAGCAGGCTTGGAGCTGACTATGTGGGCGAGTAGCTCAGCTCTGCCTCTCACTAACTGCTGAGATGCTGGACAAGTTACATAAACCCACTGAGATTTAACTTCCTTGTCTATACAGAGAACGACCGTGCCTACTTCATAGAGTAGTTGTGAGGATTAACTGTGTTGCTACCTATCGAGCACTTAGATCACAGTGGCAAGCACATAATAAGCAGTTGATAAATGTTCACTGTAATTACTAGCGGTAGTGACAGTATCACCATCATCATTTTTAATCTTTCAAGGTCCGGCTTAATTGCTACCCAATTTTCCTTATTTGCAATCGAAGGTAATCACTCCTTCTTCATTATAACACCTTTCCACTTCGTATATTTCTCTATTGGGACGCTGACTTCATGCTGGCTTGTAGTCAAGAATCCTTTCTAGTGGTGACATTGAGTTTTAGTGGTCCCTCACCACCCAGCAAGTAGTATTTGGCATGTGTTGAGAAACCCAGTAAATATTGTGCCACGCGGTTTGCTTGCAAAGCAGGAAGCACAAATTCAAGTCGAGTAGGAAGTAAGGAGAGTCAGGTGGGCAAGCACCCAATTCTGAAAGCTTCAGCCTTCAGAAATGTGAAAAGCACAGGAGAATCGGAGTCATTTCAGAATTTGAGAAGCATACTAACAAGCGTTTTAATGATCTCATGCAGAAATTCACAGCCCCACAGCCGGAGAGATGAAATCTCCCAGATCCATTTTTCTGAGATGCTCCTTTTTCAGTCACTCTCTCACCCACCTGACATATTCTTAAATTGTATTTATTTTGTCTCAAGCAAAGAAGCCAGGCTCCGTTTTCATCCATGGGATGCCCCAACCTCCTTTCTCCACTGCACGTTTGTAATTTTGCAACTGTGACTGCCTTGGCTTTACAGCACTCCCCCACCTGTCCGTTTGTACGTAACAATTAAAACATAAAACCAACCAAACTGTACCATCTCCACATCAGTGGGGATACAGGGCGATCTGAGATCAAACCCAATTCCAGGGCATAGCCACGTGCTCTCGGGCCAGTTGTTCAATCTCTGCAGCACCCCCCTTCCTTCTCTGCCTCCTCTGTGACCTCCTCTGTGACCCTGCTTCACAGGGTGGATTTGGGGATGAAATAAATCACCCAGGTGGAGACCTAGAGCAATGGCTGGAACGAAGCAAGCAACGCTCAAACATTCCTCCCTGCAATCCGTCCCCCACGTAGGAAACCCCCAAAGTAGGAGAAGAAGCCGTTTCTCGGGGACCGATAGGGACAGAGGCAGCGGGGTCCCCTCCTAAACGCAGCATGGTACTTCAATCCGTGTATTTCCATTTTGTCTGTATCCAGTCAGGCTGCATCCTGGTGCAACTCTGGCCTCCAGACAAACACAGCTGGGTTATGGTGTTGGGGGGCATGGGTTCAACAACATGGGTCTCCAGGCCTTCTGTGTGCCAAGCATATGCCAGGTATTAAGGATGTACAATAAGGAAGACCCAATTCCTGCATTCAAGAAGTTCACATTCCAGCCAGAAAATTTACTTGCAAGCAAATAAATTCTAACACGGTGGGTTGAGTGTAAAGACGCCAGAATCTATCAACAGTAGCCAAGTTACGGAAAGAGTCCAAATGTCCACTGATGGATGAATGAATAAAGAAGATGTGGTGTATATTTACAATGGAATATTACTCGGCGATCAAAAAGAATGAAATCTTGCCATTTGCAACAACACGGATGGAACTAGCGGGTATAATGCGAAGCGAAATAGTCAGAAAGAGAAATATCATACGATCCCACTCATATGTGCAATTTAAGAAACAAAACAGATGAACATAGGGGAAGGGAAGGAAAAATAAGATAAAAACAGAGAGGCAAACTATAAGAGACTCTTTTTTTTGAAAGAGAGAGAGAATGGGGAAGGGGCAGGGAGAGAAGGGGACAGAGGATCTGCAAATGGGCTCTGCGCTGACAGCAACTAGCCCACTGCGGGGTTTGAACTCACAAACCATGAGATCATGGCCTGAGCTGCAGTCGGACGCTTAACTGACTGAGCCACCCAGGTGCCCCATGAGAGAGACTCTTAAATACAGGGAACAAACTGAGGGGTGCTGGAGGGGTGCTGGGTGGGGAGCACAGGCTAAATGGTGATGAGCACTGGGCGCTGTGTATAAACGATGAATCGCTAAATTCTACTCCTAAAGCCATTATTACACTACATGTTAACTAACTTGGCTTTAAATAAAATTTTAAAAATCAAATAAAAAAACGGAATTCTGGAAATGGTCCTTGAGTTAAAAAATAATAATAAAGTGCAAGAAGCTACAGAGCAGGAGAATGCTCGGAGGAAGGTGGGATTCTCCTTATGGAGGAAGCAGAGATGGCTGGGGGAGGGGGGACAACCCTGTGGGCCAAACATGTGGGGACAACCTTGCCGCGGGGACAAAACAGTCAATGGTGTGTTGAAATGCTTCCTGCTTTCCTTCCTCGGCCTCACAGCAAAGCTGGCCTGGCTTTTAGACCTGACAAGGGGGAGGCACGAGAATCACGGAACTGAAGCAAAAACGAGGAGGACAGCAAAGGAGACGTTCTTTGCTTGCCGGCAGGTGTCCCCGGTCCTTTCACCCAATCCCGTGTCACCTCTGAGCAGCTGGTCATCAGATCCTAGGCAGGAAAGCTCCCCCGCCCGACCGTGATGCAGGGGACGGGGACAGTGGAAATGCGGCAAACCGCAGGGGCGGGCGTGCGCGTGGCCGGACGACGGTCGGCGCTGCCGGGATGTTCGAGGGCAACTACAGAATGTTCTCAAAGCCCGAAAGCCACAGCCGCGCAACGGCGGGTCGTTTCGGGGGGCCTCAGCCTCCGCCGCTCTGCTGCTACCACAGCTGTTTCCTGGAAGGGCCGCAGTCTGAGAACACGGCCCCAGCACTCTGCCTGGTACGCGGGGGGGACTGAGCGTGGGGACGCTGACCCCCAAACTTCACCCGAAGCGCCGTCCCTTGGCACAGCCACCGAGGACACCGGTCCACGTAAGGCAGGAGGTGGGCGAATAACAGCTCTTGCCTCCGTGGTTCCGGCCCAAACGGGGCCGGTTCGTTTTTACAAAGGCCAGGTGACGCGCATGCGTGTCCACCAGAAAGCCCGACAGGGGAACGGAGGGGCGTGTCTACGGATCCTTCGCCTCCCTGGTCCCTTAACCAGACGCGCGTTTTCCGGGAAGCTGGTGAAGCTCACGCTTTGGCGTCCCTCACTCACGTGGCCCCGACCTCGTGTTGCATCCGTTCTCTTAAAAAAGTCTCCACAAGTTGTATGCGCTTCAAGTCCTTACGGTAGGAAGTTGCGCGTACATGGGCTTAACTCAAGAAGACGCAAAGCCCACCTGACATGGGAGAAAGGGAAATGAGCCTTTGTCCTGAAAGGTCGCTGCAGTTCACTGCTGATTCTACCGGTTCTTTCTCGTTCAGGTAGGTATCTTGCCACGAGAAAACCCCAAAAGTTGAGATCACGGTGCTAGGCGTATAACACGCAGTTGATAAACGTTCGTTTTAGAATCAAAGTTAAACACTGAAATAGAAACCCACAACTTCCAAGGCTTACACTTGACCTCTTCTCAAGGAAGAGTGAAGAAATGAGAATTAAAATTATTACCTTGTCACAGACACTGCTCATAATTGTCGTTATACTTTTTGTTGGACCAAAAGCAACTGTTCATTTAGCACTTGGGGCCAGTCTGACAAGGGCTCTGCATACATTACCTCTACCTTCATTACAACACTATGAAGTAAGTACACCCATTTCACAGATGAGGAGTGTGAGGCTGGGAGCGATGAAGTAATGTACCTAAAATCACACTCCAATTTGGGTCTGTTGAACTTCAAAGCCTTATGCTTTATTTAGGCAGAAAAGTTCAGAAGCTAGAGTCTCCCGTTCAGCTAAGTCTTCAGTCTTAGCCGAATAATCTTTTTCTTAACATCGATTCTAACTTCATAGTGGATCCTTAATACCTAACGCACATGTCTCCCTCATCATCTCTCCTCTTGCCAAGAAATGCATTTGGAGGTGAAGGCAGCTTACCCGAAAGAAGTTAAAATTAGACCCCGGCTAACTGACTTTCTTTTTTATTTTTAAAAGTATATTTATGTTCTATCTCCAAACTAGAGGTTATGGGTGATGGAAACAATCTGAATCTATGAATCCACAGCAAGGCAATAACAAACTGTATGTACACTAATTTACAAGCCACAGAAGAAGTCCAACGTATGCAATAACCACAGTACGAAAACAATATAAATACAATCAAAACCAGCACCACCTTAAAAAAAACTCACACCATATAACTTTTAGATAAAGTTGTTTGGTTTGGTGTGGTTTTCAACTAACTCTCAAGTATTTCCTCCATTCCATTTAAATCATTATTACCCTACCGTTTTAAGTGTATGCTATTCAATAAAATTAGAAGTCATCCTCTGGCTAATTTATCACTGTTTTTGTCTCTCACCTTCTCAGTGTCATTAATTTAGGAAAAGCTACAATCACCATACTCTCTACCCACCTCACTCTCAGCACAACCTCCCCACATGGCTGGATGTGGATACTCACCTACCTTGGCATCTGCTTCAAGAGAGGAGACAGGGGGGCCTGTTCGGGAGAGAAGGAAGTCAACTTTTCTTCACTTTGGAACAACTGACGCATTTCTCTTTCCTTCCTGTCGGGCCAGTGCTGAAGCGGGGCAGCGTCTGCGCCCGCCCAGACAGCTTCTGTGGTTGCCCCCCCATCGCCAAGGACCTCAGGAGCGAGGCCACCCAAAGCCACACCCAGGGGCTCTTGTAGGCCAACAGTCCATGGTCTTCAGCTGGAGGACAGATGAAGCTGACGTTCCTGAAACTTTCACCCCTACCAGGGAAACCCCAAGACAGACTAGAGGCTTCAAATATTCAAACGTTTTCACATTTGCAAGGGGTTTCACACTGACCTCGAGTGTAAATGACTGATCACATTGTGAAGAATGGTTACAAACGCAAGAATAACAAGACTGGCATAAGCTTTGGAGGGGGGAGGGTGCACCGCGGGGCGGGGGCAGGGGATTTCACTGAGGTATCCCATACAAATAGAATACGATAAAATCACAAGCGGGGGGAACACACCCCTATCAAGAAACTACAACGGCACCCCGGAAGCCCCTTTGTCTGCCCTTCCAGTTACTACCTTCTCTCCAAAGATAACCATTTTCCTGATCTCTAACACCACTGAGTCGCTTTCCTGTTTTTGCACTTTGTGTCAATGAACGTATGTAATATGTTCTGCGTCTGGCTTCTTTTGTTCAGCATGCTTGAGGTTCAACCGTACTATTGCAGGTGTTGGAGAAAACAGACCTCCGTGCTTTGGAGACAAAACATAATGCCAAGACAGAGTTCGGGATGGAGAGGAACCACAGCTTTAGTGCTTTGTGGGCCCGGGAGGCTGCTGCAGGCTGAGGCTCTCAAGAACCTGCAAGCCCGCCTGGAGGAGGAGTGGGGAGGGTGTAGGGAAATGCGGGATGGGGCCGGTTTCCACAGGAATAGGATACTTTCTGCCAGCCTCTTCAGTCGCGTTTTCAGGGTGGTGCTGGGTTCCTGAAACAAAAGGCTGACGAGGCAGGAGGTGAGGTTTTGCCAAAGAGAGGAAAAAGGTGACTTTAAAATCAAGCTTCTCTGAAGCATTAGTGCAGCCATTTTGATTTTTTGTTCAACTTTATGCTTTTAAGGGGTTTCACATGTGGTTATAGTTTACTCATTCTCGTTGTGGCATTATATCATATGAATACATAACAAGCTTATCTATAGCACTAGCGATGGCCATTTGTGCGACCCGTCGTTTGGGCTGGTCTGAACAGAGCTGTTACGAACATTCTGGTATAGTGTCTGGGCGAATTCTTGTCTGTGTTTCTGTTGGCTATGTGCCCAGATATGGAACGTTCAACACTAGTAGCTGCTGCCAGTCTTTCAAAGTGGTTATGCTAATTTGCACACCTATCAGAAACATGTTCCCCCAACACTTACTATTTGCCTTTCTTATTTTATCCATGCTGGTCAGTGTGTGTTGGAATCACATTCTGGTTTTGATTTTCATTCCCCTGATATTTAAGGCAGCTGAGCAATTTGAACGTTATTTTATCGGTTTATTCATCATTTAGCTAGCTACTTTGATGCAGGGCCTGCTCAAGTCTTTTGCCTATTTTACGATTGGGTTATCTGTCTTTCTGTGATTGATTTATAGAAGTTCTTTATATATTCAGGATATGAGTCCTTTGTCAGGTATTTACATTACATGTATCTTCTCCCACTCTGTGGACTTGTTTTTCCATTCCCTTAGTGGGCTCTTTTGAGGGTCTCAGACTCACCTTTGGGGGTGAAGTAGTGTGAACTCTAACTGAATGATCAGGCAAGTCAGATGATCCCTGAAAATAAGGTGCATGTGTGGCCTTGGGAGTCACTGGATACCTCTGAACACTACTGGGCCTCAGTTTCCTCAACCGTAAATGAGGTTCACTTTGATCATCCCTCCCGCTCCTCAGTTCTGAAATCTCATTCTTCTGCGGCCTGAGGATGATGACCTGAGATGGTACATTCCATCAGGGGAGGAGCAGGGCTGGGAGGGTGGGTGGTAACGGGCTGTGAAGGGTAGTGGGCTGCGACAAGAGGCAAGAGTGAATTAAGAGGGCAAGCTCTGGGGTGAGACAGACAGATCAAAGTGACCTTGAGCAAACCATCTGGCCTTCCAGAGCCATTTCCTGGTGAAGGCCACAGGCTTCCCTCTTCGTTTTACAGTTCATTCTCTTCATTCACAGATATTTATTATGTATTTGTTATATCAGGCCCTGCCATAGTGACTGTGGTTGAGGACCCCTGGCCTAAGAAGATCTTTAGTAAATAATAACTGTTATCTGTTTAATAGTAATTTTACTATTTGTAGCATAAGACACTAAGTGAATCCATTTAGGAATATTTGGAAGAAAATGTTTTTGGAATGAGGGTACCCTATGATATTTATTTCCAAAGTAGGTGTATTACTTAGCTAGGGGCTGCTGTAACAAATACTTGTGTGGCTTAAACAACAGAAATTCATCTTCTCATAATTCTGGAGTCTAGAAGTTCAAGGTCAAGGTTTTGGTAGGATTGGTTTTTTTCTGGAAGCCTCTATCCTTGGCCTGTAGTTGGCCGTCTTGTCTTTGTGTCTTCACAAGAGCTCTCTGTGCCTGTGTCCTAATTTCTTCTTTTCTTTAATGTGTTTTATTTATTTTTGAGAGAGAGAGTGAGGGAGCAAGAAAGAATGCTCAAGTTGGGTAGGGGCACAGAGACAGGGGACAGAAGATCCACAGCAGGCTCTGCACTGACAGCAGGGATGGAACTCACAAACAGTGAGATCGTGACCTGAGCCAAAGTCAGACACTCAACTGACTGAGCCACCCAGGCACCCCTAATCTCTTCTTCTTAAAAGGACACAGTCATATTGGATTAAGGCCCACCCATATGACCTCATTTTAACTTGACTACTTATTTAAGGACCCCCATCTCCAAATATACCTTATTTCCAAATACAGAATGTCACATTCTGAGGTACTGGGGGATTAGGGCTTCAACATGTGATTTTGAGGAAGGACACTTCAGACCATCACAGCAGGATATAGTAAGAAAATACTAGAACTTCTATTTATATTTAATTTTTAAAGCTAAAACTTAGACTTGATGGATGTTTAATGAATGGATCCACCATTGAATATATCACCAGGGGAATAAACATAACTTTGAGATACAAGATCAAAAATTGTTCCTGCTAGGGGGGCAAAATTAAAGAAGTCTGGAGACCACTGGCCTAAGGCCTTGGGCTGCAGTGGACAGCAGGGAAGGGTGGAGACAGGTGGGTGTTGAGAGGCACCTGACTGGCTTGGTTGGTGGCGCATGCAACTCTTGATCTTGCAGTTGTAAATTCGAGCCCCACATTGGGTATAGAGATTACTTAAAAATAAAATCTTTTAAAAAACAAAAATATGGGTGTGGAAATTGAGTAGGTATTGATTAGATCACATCTAAAAAAAAGAGTGAGGTGACACAGGGCTGGCCTGGGGCTTAGACCAGAGTAGCCCTGGAAGGGGAGAGTGCCAGGATTGGTGCATGGGCAGGAGTCAGGCAAAGAGAGTGAACATGATGAATCATCAAGACACAACTCCCTAAGGCTCCGTGTGGTGGGTTGTAGCCCTCTTCTTCCGTAAGTGTCTGCCTGTAAACTCAGGCTGGTCGAGAGACTTGCTCTGGATGATGAAACGTGTGCAGAGGTGACCCCTGCCTCCTATGAGCAGCACCGTCCTAGCCAGCACACGGGGCCACTGTTCCCTGTCCCTTCCCCTTCCCTCAATGATTCTGGCATCAGGCTGCTCCATCAGTCTGGTCCCAGTGTGGAGAAGACATAGGACAGAGCCATAACAGACCCCTGATGGTCACATAGTGTGGGTGACAAACACATCTTTGTTGTTATCAACCACCAAGAGTCTGGCGTCATTTGTTTCTGCAGCTAACCTAGCCTGTGCTGATACGGTGTAATTTTTCATACACACAGAACTGATCAAATATTTAAGAACTACTATAGCATAAAAATCAACCAGTCAGAGAAATGCCCGCTGGAGGCCCCTGCTATGCCCCAAGTTATCCTTTAGTTGTTGGATCTTGGGTATGGGGTCTCAAGGATGGGGCGGAGGGAGCCAGGATCGGGGGAAGAAGGAGCCAAGGGGCCCGGAGCAGCAGCCATTTCCAGGTACGGAGGAATTTTTTAGTCTCACTTGCCTGGGCTTCCCCACTGGCAGCAGATCTAAGTATAGGCATCTCTTAAATAATCTTGTTACCACATAATTTCTCAGCACAGGACTCTCACTTCAGGTATGTGTCAGCCACAAGTTTCTTTTCTTCTCCATTACGGCATCAAATTCCTCAGGCCCGAGTGTTTTGGCATTATCAGCTTTGTCATCAAATGGGTATGATTCTCACTGGCCTGGCACGACTCCGGGGTCCATCTGAGTCACACACTCCTGGGCACAGAGAAAGGCAGGAAAACTCGAACATCCACAAGATTGGATGGTGAGGGGCTGCAGATCACACACAGCACTGCAAGACCCAACTGTGCCTGTTAATATTCTTTTTTTTCAGGTGACACGGCTAAGATTATGAGGTCAGCACTTGCTAAATAAAGGCACTGGCAAGGCCAATCCCTACTTTAAAGAGTTTGTGTTTAAGGGACTTGACTCAAGGGGCACCTGGATGGTTCAGTTGGTTAAGCATCAACTTCGGCTCAGGTCATGATCGCACTGTGGGTTTGTTTGAGCCCCGCATCGGGCTCTGTGCTTACAGCTCAGACTCTGGAGCCTGCTTCGGATTCTGTGTCTCCTTCTCTCTCTGCTCCTCCCCTGCTTGCGCTTTGTCTCTCTCCCTCTCTCAAAAAAATGAACGTTAAAAAAAGTTTTTTTAAAGGGCCTGGGTTCACAGGAAGAGAGCACGCAGCATCTGCAAGCCCACAGCTAATCCCCACACTGAGAAACAAACCAGAGATTCGTTCCACTGGCTTGCTGCACAGAAACTAAACATTCTAAACTACGGCTGAATACCAGAGATTAATGAGCAGCTATGAGCCGGTGTGCTTATACTTCAGTACTTATGATGGACACTCACTCTTGGCAGATTGAGGGTGCTGGACACGGCAGCTAGTGAATGGCCAATGCCGTAGTGATTTTATTCCTTGGCCCCACGGCCTGTCTGCCAATTGGGCGGCATATAATAGCATAGCACATAGCATTTTTCCAAGCACTGCAACACCACTGAGCATAGAGAATTCACGTCCTCCTGTTTCCAGAAAATGTGTTCTTAACATTTTCCCAGAGATCATATCTTAGTAAACTCTGTAGCCTCGACTCCAGCTCAGAGGCTGACACAAAGTGAATGTTCAATGTAAGTGTGTTGAACAGGTGAACGAACTGCTCTAAAGAGAAACAGCCCAATTTATCCATTTCTGAGGCACAATGTGCATATGGCAAGATTGTTTAATGAATGTTCTTTGATAGTTAAAATTGGAGAGCAGTACCCAGTGCATATGAGATAAAGTCATGTAAAATTTTTTTAAATTCAGGGGCGCCTGGGTGGCTCAGTCGGTTAAGGGTCTGACTTTTCCACTCAGGTCATTATCTCGTGGTTTGTGGGTTCGAGCCCTGCATGTCAGCACAGAGACTGCTTGGGATTCTGTCTCCCTCTCTCTCGGCACCTCCCCTGCTTGCTCTCTATCTCTCTCTCAAAATAAATAAAAATAAAGTCAAAAAACTTTTTAAATTCGCCTGTACATGTTTTCTGTGGATTTCTGCACGTGCTGAGCTTCAATTACACTGTAACTTAAAGTCTAGGCATTACTAATGCACCATCCCAGCAGCCATTTAGAACACTCCATTGAATTAGAAGTTCCTAAAAGGCTGTGGAGCAACCTCTAGAAGATGCTCCAAACCACACAGCACTCAAATACAGATGTCCACTCAGAACCTGTTCACTCTGCTTTGCACATGATTCTAACACACTCACCTGATTTCAAGGACATAGCAAGACCAGAAAAAGACCTGGTCTCCAGGTCCACAGCAGAGTAGCGAGAGCAAATTAGGAAACAGTGAAGAGACCCGTTTGGCTGAGGAGCATGGCGGCGCTAAGGGCCCAGAACCCGGCAGGCAGGACACCTAAAATGGATCGCAGGTGAAGCTGGGAATGCCGGGAAGCCAGATAAAGACGTCAGAATTAGAACCACATGTGAGGCACAAAGGCTGAAACACTGGCACAGGTGACTCGAAGCCAGATAATAGGAAGGGAATGAATAGCAAAGGAAAATACAGTTAGCTGAGGTCAGGTGTCTAGGGCAGAGCAGCCTTGCGTGTCTCACCGCTGGGATCTCTGCTCACCAGCCCTCTGCCTCCCGCAAGGGAGCAGATAATTGCATCTTTTTTCCCTCCGCAGCCCTCTGCAGTGGCCGTGAGGCAAAACGGATGAACCTGGGGAAATCATTCGTTCGTTCATTCATTCATTTATTCATTCGTCAATTGTAATTATATACCTATTTGTGCCAGGCATAATGGAAGGGGTAGGGGGTAGTGCATCAGTGAATAAAATGGCTTCTGCCTGCCTGGAACTTAGATTCATAGGGTAGAAACAAAGCTTTCCGATGGATTGAAAGTGAGCTCTGTAGCTTAATTCTACTATATCTCGAGGGCTTGTGGTCAGTGCTTCCTGGGGGGGATGGAAAGTGGGTTTCAGCAACTGCACTTTAGAGAAGTAAGAAGTGATAGCCTGATTTCCAGGACATAGCAAGACCAGAAAAAACAGCCCCCCAAATCAAAGATCTTAGCCACAAAGTACATGCAAACAAGTGCCCAAACGCCAGTCCTTCTTGGAAAGTATTGTACAATTACTAATTTTCAGAAAGACCCCTGTATACAAGTGTCTATTTAGGTCAGTTTGGTTAAAGCAGCCAGGAAGTGTGCAGCATTTCACAAAATTTTCAACCCAGAATGGCTTTTTTTTTTTTATTGGTACTTAAAAAAAAAGAAGCTCATTTATATGGAAAATTTACCTCCCTAAAACAGGGTTTCGTTCAGAGCTGAAGTTTCCTAATCCTGGATCTCCAGGAAGACTGTAACTAGTTTCTCAGCTGCTCATCATTCATATTCAGAAATCCCTTTGCAGTGTATTACAGGATGTCCGAATCCATTTGAACATTAAAATTAATCCATACAGCACAAGCTGGAGGGAAGGTCCGGACGACTCTTCCTCTCGGAATGGCTTTTGTACATTTGTTTTGTTGTAGTTGCTGCCAGGCTACCTCGCGGGTTCCCACGGAAACCATCCTGGGGAAGACGGGAGGAGGGGCCGATCCCGAGTCCCCAGCCCCGCTAGCCGGGCGTGGGAGGGGCCCTGGAGCTGCGCCGGCCCGCAGGGAAGGCGGGGCGAGGCGCGAGCATGAGGGGCGGAGCCTGAGTGCGCCTGCGCGGTGCGCACTACTCAGGGAGGCGGAGGCGACGTGCAGGAGGAAAGATGGAAGACTACCAGGCTGCCGAGGAGGTAACCGCCGGGTCAGCAACAGGAAGGGTGGAGGCCGAGAGCCCCGGGCGCGGGTGGGCGGCGGCAGCCAAGGGCGTGTGTGGGCACCCGGGCCGCGTCTGGACGTGGGCAGCGGCAGTCCGAGGTGCAGGCTGACGGCATCGGCCCCCTGCCGAGCGCTTCGCGGTGACCCCCGGCCCGGCCTGCTCTGGGCGTCGTCACCCTGCCCGGGGGGCGGGGCGCGGCAGGGGCTCCCCGCGCGGCGGCGTGAGCCCCGTCGTTCTTCCGGGAGGGGCCCCGCAGCCCTGGGACTTCTCCCTGCGGCCGGGAACACCCCGCCGCTCCTCTCCCGTCTCCGGGCGTCCCCGGGTGTCCCCGGGGCGCGTCCCACGCCCGCCCCACGTCCCGGGCCAGCCCGGTGCCCGCCGCGCCCCTGGCCCAGCCCCGCCCCGAACCTGGCCCCGCGCCGGCCCACCACGCCCCCAACCGCTCCACGCCCGCGGCCCAGCCGCGCCCCCAGACCTTGCTCCACGCCGGCGGGGCCGCCGGGAGAGTGGTATCATTCGCTCCCTTTATTCCGTGGTGCAGACCCCCCACCCTAGATTAGGTGCTCCACGTCCACGGGTGGGGAAGGCTGAAGGCCGCGTGTGCGTCTGCTGATGTTTTAACGGAAGACTACAGAGTGACATATATGCGTGACACGCACGTCCAGTCACGTCTTCTAAGTCCCTTCAGTAATGGATTTGATGCACCTGCAAAATGCGGAAGCGCACAGAAGGAGAGCCTGCCTTTGTCTTCCGTTCCGCACCTTGTTCTTCAGTGTGGTGCTTACATCCACCGTGGCCACCATCCCTTAGGTTTCATTTTGAGTTTGAGATGTCAGTATGATAACTCCTACTTGGGAAAAATAATCTCTTCTTGCCTCAATGAAGAAGCAGCAGGGTAAAGCACACAATTATTTGCCAAGCAGAAGACATTCTAACAGCGGGCTGGTAACATGGCTTTCCTTCAGTTTAACATGCATTCAGGGACTGTGGCTGATGGATGCTACTATTATACAAAAATATTTGCCCATTTTCTTCCTGCTAAGTAATAATTCTTGCTGCCCATTTTCTCCTTGCTAAGTAGTAATTTTTGTTGAAATAGAGTCCTACAGATTATGCAGCCTGTCAAAAATAAAAAGGATAGACGAATTTGGTAAGGTTTGCTATTTTACCATTTTTGAAACTTAGTTTAAGCAGGGATGTTTAGAGGGGGGAAAATTCTAATGCTTGTACCATGCGAATTGGCAGCACAATCATGTGTTTCAGTGCTGGTAAAAAACCAAGTGGATCCATGGTGCGTAAGCAGCTAGCAAAGGAAAAGCTTTTCCCTGTAAACTAATGTAGGAAAATGGCTCATATTATAGGAATATCTATAAAACTTTAAAAATGGAAATGACCCTGTAAGAGAAATCTCTTAATACTGGCATTTCAATTCTGGCTCTCCCACCAATGAGGTGGCTAAGTGACTTCATTATTCCAGATCTCACTTACAGATCTGAGGATTGAAGGGGCTGAACAGAGCATGTGTTTTACAGGAGATAAAGCCCTAGGCCCTTGCATGATAAGAGGGCAACTTCTTCCTAGTAGGCGTGCCTTAGGTATTTACTAATGGATGGATGCCAGCCCTAACAGCTTCTGAACTAAGCCTTTTCTACATATCCTCTAACTTCATGTAAATATCTGGACCTTCGTAAGACTATTCTCAACTCCTTGTTCCTATTTCTTGTAGAAGTTGAAATTGCCCAGTGGATTCTGTACAACTGCTCTACTTTTCCACTAAATCTCCACTGAAATGCCCCTCAACCTTTTCCATATTTTAGCAATGTGGATAGTCACACAGGGATTTTCCTGTATGGTTTAGGATCACTGAAGTCCCCTGGAAGGATCCTTTAAATCTCAAGAAGTCATTTAACCTGTAAGATAGTGCAAATTTTCATCATTTGGTGAGTTGGCTTTGTCTCCCAAGTATGCCTTCTGAGCAGAGCCAGTGAGAGGGCTTCAAGGCAGTCTGCTCGTGATCCTCCTGGAAAGAAAGGGGCATTGCTTAGACGGGGCCACAGTGGACAGCGTCCCAGCTGGGAGGGAAACTCACTGCCAAAAGCAGGGTGCTCTGACTTTATTCCACCAGGATTCACAATGACTAAGGGCCTCGGGCTGCCCTCTAGAAGGAATGTCCAGAGCTAAGTATTGTTCCCAGGATTCAGACAGAACCTTGTACCCATTCACATGTACGATATGTGTAAAGAAAACCCATTTGTAAACTCTGCCTCTAGATTACTGCAGCAGCCCAGCTCATCCTGACACACCTGTGGAGAACAGCTGTGCTAGCAGCTGGTTTTGTAGTCTTGAGGTAGGAGAGCATGGAGAAGAAAACAGAATTATCAGAAATAGTTTAATCATTGTACTTTATCACTAATGGTGGTTAAAAACAAACAGAAATGTCTTAAGTGTCAAACCTCCTAATGAGTTTGATCAGGCAGAGTGTTCACTCATGTAAACAAAAATCAAGTCAGTCAGTAAACTTTTGTATTTGTTAATGATCCCAGCAACCAGTTGAAATGGCTAGAGAGATTGAATCTAAAGCGGAGTCAGTCTTTTGGACCATGGCATGATTAAAACAAAGCAAAAACCTTTAAATTATATACGTTGTCTAGACTCTTGACTGTACCAGCTCTGCGATTCTCGAAGAGCCACTTGGTGTTTCTGAGCCTCATTGTAGTGTTTTCCTTGGTAAAATGAACAATCTAGTTCAGTTATTTCTAAGTCTTCATTTCTAAATTATGTTCATTACCTAAATTTGCATTAATCAGTGCAGTGGAAACAGATCTTTTAAAGCCATGAAACTTAACTAATTTTCTTCCTTACAGACTGCTTTTGTTGTTGATGAAGTGAGCAACATTGTAAAAGAGGTAAGAGGAAAGATGCTTATTTTTTAAATGTTGATTAACGGCTTTATGAGTAAAATAACGTGTTTTAAATACTGCCTTGGAATTGTTTCAGCTGAGCGTGTGTGTTTTGGCATTTAAAATAACAGTTTTTACGTCAGTGAATATGTAGATAAGAATTACTCCCATACTATGTAAATTATATATTTTAAACCAGACAGGAAACTGTATGTACTGACATTATTATTGAATGTTACTAAGGTTTGATTCTGTAACCTTTTAGCATAAAAGACTCCTGTCATGGTATACAAATAAATGTTTCTGGTGTTGAATAAAGAGTATATAAAAAAAATGAGTAACTTCCAGTCACTTAAGACCTGGTGATCCAGTTGGGGCTTACCTGCTTATTTTTCGTATATTCCTATACTACCTATTTTATCATTATTGACCATGCCCCAGTGGATGCATGGAAGACAGTGGAAGACAAAATAGGATATTTGTTCTTCATTCATTTAAAAAGTACATTGCAAGGGGGCATTAGGGACCGACCTTCAAGGACTTTACAGTATGGGGCAGGAGAAGGCAGGCACCTGTCAATGACACTGGGAATTGTAAACTTGCATTCCCTGTGTGTTAAATGCTATAGCAAGTGGTGCTATGAAGGATTTGACCCATCTGGTGAGTTCGGAGCTAGAATCTGGAGAATGAGTAGGAGTGGTGTTAACTCTGCAAGAAGAGGGGGTAGACGTTCCAGGCATTACACGTGTTCAAAGGCCCTGTGCTTGGTATGTTTGAGAGACTGAAGTGAGGCTGATGGGGCTGTAGTGCAGAGCACTGGGGGAGCCTGGGGCAGGAATGAGGCCAGAAAGCTATTCCTAGTCTCCTTCCCTTCCTGTGTAAATTGAGACCAGACTGAAGCCATTGGCCAGGAGAAAGCCATTAGATGATTGAAGTTTAACAGTCTCAGTTGAGGGGCGCCTGTGTGGCTCAGTTGGTTGGGTGGCCAACTTCGGCCCAGGTCATGGTCACGCTTCGTGGGTTCGAGCCCCGCATCAGGCTCTGTGCTGACAGCTCAGAGCCTGGAGCCTGCTTCAGATTCTGTGTCTCCCTCTCTCTCTGCCCTCCCCCCAATACTCTGTCTCTTTCTCTCAAAAGTAAATATTAAAAAAAAAATTAAAAAATAGTTACCAGTTGAGATATGTGTAATGGGGAATTGACTCTAATGCAAACAGATTACTAACGAACGCCAGAATAATGAAGAATCACAGCCTGTTTTCGTGACCCAACATCAAAAAGCAGAATGTCGTTGTTCTACCATGTACATTATTCACCGTCCCACGTGATCTCCTGGTGGTCGTGCAGGATCTGTAGTGGTGTGCTTTTCAGAGTTTTCCTACACATGATGTTTCTTACGGAACACGGTGGGGGGAGCCACACAGGACCCGTGACACGTGGGGCTGGCTTGTTGTGAAGTCCCCTTTGCTCTCGCTGGTTTTCGGCCTCCTCTTAGACTCTACTGCCCGCAGCAGGTATGGTTGAGAGTAGACCTTCCCAGGCCCCGTGGAGGCCTGAAGTGATATCCTGTAGTACCTTCATGCGGTCACCGGCCTCAACAGCTTTTTCACCCCTGGCAGTAGGTTAATTCTTCACTTGAGCTATTTTAAGGATTGGGTTGTAATAAATTTGGGTGCATCCAAAAGTGGAGTTTTCCTCCTCCCTGAAAAACACTGAATTCCAAAGGGTATGTGGACAGTTGCCAGAGTTGAGCTTGAGTGGTGCCTCCCCCTTTCTTTGACCAATGTCCAGATCTTCTAACAACCAGGTCCCCTTAAACCAGGAGTGCCTATCTCCCAGTCCCAGAGCTGGGGAGGGGGGCAGAACATGTCAGGATGAGAAGGAGCTAGGACAATGGTGGGGGCAAGATGTAGAGGAAGGCCAGGTGCTACATGTGGTGTGTTTCATGTCACCACTCAGAGTCCCGGGACAGACAGGTAGAAACCAGGGTGGGACTTAGGTAGCTCTTTGTTCCTCAAAAGCAAGATCACTGAGCTTATGTTCCAGACAACAGACCCTAATCCGTCTCCAATGTGCACAGCTCTGAGCCCAGGACTGTTTTTTTCTGCTTCTCTGAGGACAGAACTGGGCCCTCACCAGATGTTTACATTCTATCTAGGTCACAACTGTCATCAGAACTCAGGTTTCTGGTTTCCAGCACAGCAAGTTAGAAAAGGGGTAGAGAGGGGCACCTGGGTGGCGCAGTCGGTTAAGCGTCCGACTTCAGCCAGGTCACGATCTCGCGGTCCGGGAGTTCGAGCCCCGCGTCGGGCTCTGGGCTGATGGCTCAGAGCCTGGAGCCTGTTTCCGATTCTGTGTCTCCCTCTCTCTCTCTGCCCCTCCCCCGTTCATGCTCTGTCTCTCTCCCAAAAATAAATAAACGTTGGAAAAAAAAAAATTAAAAATAAAAGAAAAGGGGTAGAGAAGGAAGTGGCTTAGAGGCAGGCACACTGGCAACCAACGTAAAAGGCCCAGAAAATCTTCAGATGGTAATAGCCTGACTACAGACTTGCAGCCTCACTACACAGCAAGAGTAGGGGCAAGCGGCCATATGTATTCCTGAATACATACACACGTACATAACATGAGCCCGCACCGGGACGCAACACAGAAAAAGACCAGGAATTTCAGATAGAGAAATTCATCATAAACTTAAAATAATTTTTATAATATATAGGGGTCTTTCTTTTGTAATCTGAAAAGTGTACTTCTGTGTTAACATAGTTCCAGAAGATGCTGGATAAAGGAAGTATTTTTGAATACATGATTATTTGGATAGGTTTGTGCATTGTCAGTTGTACAGACAACCCATATAAAGTCTTATATCTACTGTATTTTTAAGAAAGGAACAGGCAAGGGCCCCTGGGTGGCTCAGTTGGTTGAGCATCCGACTTTTTTATTTTGGCTCAGGTCATGATCCCAGGGTTGTGGGATCGAGCCCCGCTTCAGGTTCTGTGCTGAGTGTGGAGCCTGATTTTCTCTCACTCTGCCCCTCTCCCCCGTTTGCATGCTCGCTCACTCTCTCTCTCTCAAAAAAAAAAAAAGGACAAAGGGAAATATTTTCTAGCCTCAGTAGGAAAAGTATTGATTATCTCCAAGTACCAACTGCAACAGTAAACATGAAATTCAGTCAAAATGTGTTTAAAATTTGACAGACTCTATATAAGTGTGGATTTTTTTTTTTAATTTTTTTTTCAACGTTTTTATTTATTTTTGGGACAGAGAGAGACAGAGCATGAACGGGGGAGGGTCAGAGAGAGAGGGAGACACAGAATCGGAAACAGGCTCCAGGCTCCGAGCCACCAGCCCAGAGCCCGACGCGGGGCTCGAACTCACGGACCGCGAGATCGTGACCTGGCTGAAGTCGGACGCTTAACCGACTGCGCCACCCAGGCGCCCCTAAGTGTGGATTTTTAAAAAAGAATATAAACCTTAATGAAATAGAACACTGATAAGCAAAGGATGTATTTGCACAAGAGTCCTCATGGTGATAAATAAGCTTACGTTTCAGGTAGATTGTATTTTAGCAGTTCTTAGGGTGATGAACTCAGTACTACCTGGAAGGTGTTGGCTGTGTTCTGCCAGCAGTGACCTCTGTCCTTTGTGTTCTAGGCTATAGAAAGTGCAATCGGCGGCAACGCCTATCAGCACAGCAAAGTGAACCAGTGGACCACAAACGTAGTCGAACAGACTTTAAGCCAACTCACCAAGCTGGGCAAGCCATTTAAATACATCGGTAATGCATTTTTGCTTCTCATATATACTGTCGGTGGTTCTTCTCATATATACTCATCATATATACTGATGAGAGGCACATGTGGCAGTGTGGTATCTGACCTCAAAGTTCCCAGTAGCAGTTGGTCGCGGTGTCGTGTGCATTACCACCCGCCTGGCTGGAACAGTTGCAGGGCGCATGGCACAGGATTTCCCAGCATTGCAGATCAGCTGCTTTAGAACAGGCATGTGGTGAAGGAATGGGAAGGGTGTGATGTGTCACTGTCATAGGACCAATCTACCCTGATAATATTTATCGTGCACATCAACCACGTGATCTGCATGTATATGCCCAGAGTAGGCTAAAGTAGGGTTGCCAAGTGTATCTCTCTTAATAAAAAGTTTGTTTTAATTGAAGTGACCTGTGTAATTATGCAGAAGAATGGAGCAGGGTTACACACAGCAAGTTCCTGCTTCTGGGACAGCTCTACGGACGGTATGGTTTTCCCTGTGTTTTGTGAAGGCTTGTCGTGGGCTTTTCTTTTCCCTGAAGGCCTTGAGGCGCCTCCTTGATCCTGTTGAGATCTAGATCATTCAGCGCAGTATTTTGTGAAGTGTGTGCTTGGACATTTCCCGTGTTTGGAATGCATGCTTATTAGTGGCGCCCGGGTGACTCAGTTAAGCATCTGACATCGGCTCAGGTCATGATCTCGTGGCTCATGAATTTGAGCCCCACGTTGGGCTCTGTGCTGACAGCTCAGAGCCTGGAGCCTGTTTCAGATTCTGTGTCTCCCTCTCTCTCTGCCCCTCCCCTGCTTGCATTCTCTCTCTCTCTCTCTCTCAAAACAAATTTTTTGAATGCATGCTTATTATTAGACTCACCTTTAACACATTTCCTAGAAGAGACTTACTGGCTTGCTTTCTTTGTGTGCCGTGAAGAAAGGTGACAAGTCAGACTAGCGAGCCTCCGTCTTCCTGAGTTGAGTGACGCTGTGCCTTCTTCCCCACAGGCAGCTGCACTGTGCGGTGGGAGAACAAGACCATGTACTGCATCGTCAGCGCCTTCGGGCTGTCCATCTGAGCCGCGGCTGACCCTCCGCTCCGCTCCCGGCCCTCCGGGAGGCCGGTGAACGCCTTTTTCGTGCTCCTTCAGCGTGGTTCTCGGGGCGCTCTCCAGATGGAGAGAAAAGCCGAAGGCTGGCCCTGTTCTGCGAACAGCACCCCCAGGTCCGAGGACTTGCCCTCCCAGGCAGTCAGGCCTCTGCTGCCACTCGTCTTAACTGTTTCTTTTCAAAGGTGCTAAAAACTGAAATCTGCTAGTTTGAAACTTTCTCTACTCTGAATGATTCAGGTACACTAATTTTCCACACTTTGTACTTTGGTTAGAGTAATAAATTATTCCAATTTAAAGTTTGTGTTTTTCTTCATAGTCTAAATAACACCACAAATGAATTCTTTCAATGTCATTAGTGACTTCAGAATCTAAAACTGCAAAAACAAAAAAGGAAAAGTTACAGTTTGGCTTTGGTCTTCTCAGTACAATGATTTGATGCTTTTACCCGCAGGACCAGGATTCCACTGGCTTCTGGGAGTGGGTGAGCTGGTTCCTACTCCAGCCAGAGAGCTCTGGTCCCCACATGCTGCCCAGTCTCCATTTTTCAGTAGCAATCAATCACCAAAAACATGTTTTAGTACATCCGGGCTTCCAAGATGCTTTCATAACATTCACTTTGTGTCCACAATTAGACCATTATTTATAAGTCAGTAAACATGTTTGGAGGTTATCTGATTTAAAATCTTATCCAAGTAAGGGGAGGGGTGGGCCCCAAGCCTCAGTCTGTGACCTCCTCTCAGTGCTCATCCACAGGCACATTCACACTGTAATAAAGACAGGCTTCTATATCCACTTGCTGAAATGAAAAAAGCTCTCCTTTTGTCCCTGAAGCACTCATGTCTGAATGGCCAAATTAACTCCACACACAAGAGCAAATACATCACATATAAATAAGGACCAAATGTTTCAAATTTATTAACATTTACCAGAAAGTCTCAGAATGAAGCCATTTCCAAAGTGTAAGTTTGCCATAAACAAACATTTATTCACTTTTGATTGATTACAATGATCATTCTGTGATCAGGTGTTACTGTGCTCACTGACACAGTTCCAAGACCTAATACATAGTTCGTTCTTCTGAGCTTAAAGTTGTTTTTATTTTACAAATATTTACAGGCTTTTTGTAAAAAGGCAGTTTTCAGTAGCAGAAAATTCTGTGTTTCATTGTGTGGTATTATAGTTACCAGTATATCTAAAACCTGTCAGGTCAACATGAACAGGATAACAAGATGTCACAGACGAAAGCGACTTCCCTTTGGCCTGGGGAAAAGATTAACATCTTTTTTTTCCAAAAGCCTAACCTCTAAGGCAACTGGTTTCTAAAATCCTCAAAATACATAAATATTCTTCAGTGGCTTAAGTATGTACTAGCTATCTCTTGTCATCCTGTCTATGAGCTCCCGTGGTTTACCCTGTGAGAAGGATTCCAGGAAACAAGTCACTGACCACACCGTAACCCATTTAACAACTGTACCTTCAGTAAATAGTTCAGGAAATACTTGAGGCTGGTGACATTTGTCTTGTAACCTGCCCATTTAGTGGGCTGGGTTTACATAGTGTATCTTAACTTTTATTGCAATCTGTAATTATGTACAGGAACAATCTTACAAACCTTGAATATATTTTATATATTCCCTTCTCTAGCCTTTCAAATGGGGCTTAAGAGAGAGAAAACTGCATCACTTCACTGCTGTAATGATTTAATAATAAATCAAGCAGACCTATTACCCACATGGATAATGATGCTCTCCCTAGGGAAACTGAAATACCGACAGGCACCTTCCAGATTCCCCTAGACTGGACCAGTATAAAAAATTATCCCAAAGATGATGTTATACAAGCCATTACCATGCAAGAACTGAAGTCAGCCCTCTGAATTTATAATTTAAGTTTTGCAAAACTTTGATACTCTCCAAAGAAAAAAAAGTTTTTTTCTTGCTACTGCCGAAAGTTTCCGGCAGACTTTAGTGTTTGAACCTAGTATCTACGGCATATATAATACATGCTAAATGCTATATACTTTAAGCAAATTTTTACATGGAGTGTGTAATTTGTTGATACATGTGATGCACCAGAGATCCAAAATGCACGATTTAACAAAGAACCATTTTCCCTTTAAGTACTTACTTTTATACCTTTTTTGTCTCCAACTTAGTTATAAAAAGTAAATAAATACTCCCATATTTTCATTTCATTGACTTGATACCATGAAGACTCAAGTATGAAGATTATCAGTCATCAGTTTATAATTATACTACAGGACAAAGACAAGGTTTAAAAAGTTCTAACGTGTATGGCTAAATGCCTCAAGTAGTTTACTGATAAATAACAGCATTCCAAATTATGGACAGTTATTTTATAATGATTAAAACCTGTAAACTATATCACATACTAGAATACATTAATCAGTCCAAGTAAGTTTTCATCAATTTACATAAAATTATTTATAGTTAGTAGAAGAAAAATTTGGTAACAGAAAAGTTTTTCCAATACCACTGAATACAATAAAAAAAAAAGAAATCACACCATTGAAAATGTAAAAACCATGTAAACTCGAATTACCCTTGCAATAATACAGTTGTTTTAATTCAAACTTTCATATTTACAGGGTTTTAAAAACAAATTTAAATGGAATCCATATTAAAGGTACGTTATCACTAAAGTTTAAATTAAACACAAAGAGGTAAAGTCATAATGAATAGTCTCTCATGAACCTCTAAAAGGTTCCAGCGTTGTCTAAAGTGAAATCCGATTTTTAGCTCGGTAATCTAAGAGTTAATGCATAGATGAAGAAAACGTAGGTACTGTTTGCAGAGCCGAACAATCCTATCCTGTGCCATGCCATCAATCAGGATGTTAGCAATGATCGTATGTCAACAGTTCAAGACAGACATTATTGTGCGTGTCAAAGGAAAAGCAAAGGAGGTATCTATACCAGACTTCTACACTTAGTCTCTGACAAAAAGGAACTGACAACTCTCCAGGGCCTTCTGTGATGCCACAGATTCAGACAACTTTTCTTTTCCAGAGCAAGCCATCATCTTCCCAGGCCACCGTATGAGGTCGAGAGGGTGGGGCATGATTCCCATCAAGTGACCTTCTACCCAAAGATGTGCTTCCTTCCACAAGTCATCAAAAATGTTTTACTTTCTTTCATTTAGGCTTCAAATGAGGAACTGAAAAACCTTTTTTCAGTAAAGAAACTATAATATTTTATCGATCCTTTGTTTAGCTTTTATGAAAAAAATAAAGTTCCACAGGGTGTCATCTTTAATGGAGTTGTAGAAACTACAGCTCATGGGAACTGTAATGGATACCCTCTTCCCCACCCCAATCACAGCAACATCCATTCATATTCATACATGTAACCCTCACATGCACACACGTGTGTACACAGGCTCTTGGAAAACTGTATGGTAGCAAGACCTCTCCCAACAAGAGCTGGCACTTGTCAATTTTCTTACCCTTTCCTTATGAAGCTCACCCAGTCCTCCTCAGAAGCCCACAATGCCAGTTCCGCCCCCGGGGGGCAGGGTGGGGGGTGGGCAGTGAAGGGCTAGAACCGGCTCGCCCACCATTTCTCTAGTGAGACATGACACAAATTTCACACAACAGACAAGTTACGAGTCACTTAACATGCGTGGTTATCCAGAGCGCTGGCCACTCAGGCTGCCCTCATGAGACAGGCACAAAAATAGGCTTCCCTTAGAGTTTAAAGGGTCGAAACTGGTACAGGGCAGAGAAAAAAGGAAGAGAGAGAACGTCACCATGCTGACAACTTCATTCATAAGGGCTTTCCGTGGACTTGGAGTTAGCAAATTATTTAAAAAAAAAACCTACTAAAAACAGGAGTAATTTCCTCCTCACCACTAAAAACAAATCCTTTCTCATCTGAAACCCTTGAAAAAGGATTTGCCTGTTTACATTTTTCATCAGCACCTCTCTTCCCAAACAAATGTAGCCACTCTAACAATAAATTTGGCCCAATGTTTAAATTTATCCTTGGTTTTGGTTTTCCTTTCAAAAATACGTAAACAAGTAAGGACCGGGAAATCTCTGCTCACGACACGAGCCTGAACACCAGCAGGAGCACGGAGGGCCAGGAAGCGGTGCTGCAGGACAGCCCGAGGCTCAGTCACTCTCAGACCCCTCCTTATACTGCGCCCGGATGGCCTGGCCGTTCTGCAGAGGCATCTCTTCATAGTCACTCCTGTCACAAAAGAGACCTTTGAAGCCACTCGGCTTTTGACAGCTCCTCATTTATTCTCCTCTTCCACACTGACGTGCCATTCTAGCAAGAACACATTCATAGCTCTGTGCTCCCCATTTCTATAGCCAACTGCCCCACCTGCTCCTCACCCCCCGCCCCACCCCCATCAAGCACCAGGGCTCAACACCAGAATGAACTGTTCCTCCTGTGGTCACCACTCGTGGTAAGTGTTCAAAAAAAGGAATGCCACTCCATCTAGTCAGAACAATGTGAAAACAGAAAACCATGGAATCACATGACACTCCCAGGTAAAAGAAAGGTCATAATGCCTTGAAAATCATTTTAGGATTGTTAACACCTGTTCCATACACCCAGGCCGAGTGCTTGCTATAGCACAGCTTTCAGAGAGGCAGTGACTTACCCATAGATCACATCATCGTCGGAGTCATTCAGCATGGAGAATGCAGGGTTGTCTTTCAGCTGGGACTCTGAAAACCAACAAAGAGCATTTTCATGCGTGAGCCTAGGGAGGCAGGATGCTACAGAAAAAGGACAGGAGTAGAAAGGGCTGGATTCAAATCCCAGCTTCCAGCATTTATTATCTATGTGACCTGAACAAATCTCGCCTCCCCAGCGTGCTTTCTCACGTACAAGCCAGGGGCAGCATTGCCACCGGGCAGGCCACCGGGCAGACCGACTGGTGGAAGCACCGGGAGAAAAGAGGCACCAGGGGAGCCCTCGGACAGGAGCTGCAACCCGGCTACTTTCTCCCAAGTCCGCACAGGTAGCAGGGGCGGAAAATGCCCAGGAGACCAGAGGTGACTGCCCTCCCTCCCGCCCTTGGGAAGCAAGCCTCTGTCTGGTTTCTTCACCTCAAATGGGAGTAACTGCATCTTCATCATAAAGATGCTGTGAGGCTCAAACAAGACATTTTCATGAAGGCACTTTGAGAGCTCACACAACATGAAAGTCAGGTGGTGGTGGTCCCGAAAGGCTATCTCCCTGCCCACATTCCAGAAGGTTCTCATCCTTCTCATTGCCTGTGTGAGAGTTTAGTTCTTCTTTGGGGGGTGGGGGGTGGGGAGC